GGAGTGGGCTCAAGTCTTCGAGGACTTTTCGGAGGTGGCGCCTGCTCTCTTCGTGTGTGCCTGAGTACTTGAAAACGAGCACTTGTACTCTATCTTGGTGCTTTGCTAGCTCCTTGCAAATGGCGCCCCATGGTTGGCCCAACGATAGTTCCATCTTGAGCGTCAAGGGTAAATTCCAGAAAGTTCAAGCGGACGAGTGACCCTTCTCGCTGAGCTGTCACTGCTTATCTCGATATAATTCCACAATAGTGGCTCGGAAATAACAAAGCTTTGCCACCTCTTCGAGACAAGTAGTAAAGGGGAAAGTATGTCTAGGTCTTTAGAAGTATACCACCCTTCATCGACACTGGATATATTCAGCATGATCGCAGTATTTATTTCATTCGGCAATATTTCCAAAGGGTCCATCCGCATCCCAGTTTCTATATCCCGAAGCATATCCATGGTTTCGTTATAAGAGGCTTTTATCTTTCGAAGTCTCTCTTGATTTTTCTTGCTTCTCGAGAGTTGTATGATCTCATCTTGAAGTTGCTGTCGAAGAGTTTCCCATTGAGACTCTGAAGTCTCGCGTTCGATGTGGAATTTCTCCAGCTTTGTAGTGATTCCATGCGTTTCGGACATAATCAGAAGATATGGTAGATTCTAGGGGCGGTATAGGAAGATGGTAGCAAATCTGACCTGGGGGTGAGATGTGGTCGGAAGGAAAGCCGCGCGCACGTTTGGGCATTATGCCCAACTCAGGAGGGTAAGACCTACTGTCTTCTCAAAATTTGGCGAATTATCTTTCGACATAAAGCAGATCTTGTTATGATTTTCCTAGCTTAGAATCTCATTATTCTCATTACATTGGTTAATTGTAGAAAAATAGCCCGAGTAGTAGCATCACTATGCTCAAAAGTTCTGAAAAGACGATGTATTTCTTCTGGAATATGTAAATATCCGTCATTTGGTCAGTACAGATCCGCATCTATAGGCTTTGCGGGGGAATAGGTTCTATTCGAGACACAGAAGAACGTTCTTCCCCCTTGTCTCGGTTCAAGTCCTCCCAGAGAAGTGCCCTCGCTTTCCATGTATCTAACACTTCACCTTCACTCTTTGGATAATCTCGTAGTCTTAATAAGTTGGCATCGTGATCGTAACCTGAACCGGGATCCCAGTTATCCTTGATGGGCTTATTGCAGACCCGTAGTGCGCGGTGGCACATGTAACACCCCGAACTTGGGACAAATAATATCAACAATGAATGGTAAAGATGAGAGAGAGACTACTCACATAGATAAGTTTAGGATATTTACGGCGTTGCCTGCGAGCGATAGCTGTTCGTTGGATGGTCTCGTCGCCCATTTACCTTTGAGAAGGTCACTAATGACCCGGGAGATATCGGGAGGGCAAATAGAAGGCACCGAAATTTTCCTGATTCGGCTAGTGGAAGATGTTCCCAAGAGATTCCGACGCTC